AACTCACGACCTCGCGCTTACCAGTCAGGGGCTGTGCCGCTGAGCTAAATCCTCTGGCTGGCCATTTTACTAAGTCCTTCATCTATGTTTTGCTTCACCTATCAGCCTGTTATTTCAGATTGATTTTGGTTTTAGGATGTATGTCCTCCTCTTTCTTCCAGGTACCTGTGTTTTCAGTAGAAACTTCTCTGAGTAGCTCTGAATGAGGCTCCTACTCTATTCAGCCATGTTGTCTATTTCTAAAGAAACAAAATTTAAATGTTCTCTATTCAAAATGACGTTACTTGGGTACTTGTCATATATATCTCTAACTCTAACTCTGTCTATCTATCTATCTATCTATTCATTCTTTATTTTGGGATGGACTATTCTTTACAAATTTCTTTAGATATTTTTAATGTCAGTTTTTTAATTATTTGAGAATACTTATCTATTGAGATAATCACATGTTGTTTATTTCATTCTTTCCATGTCCTATATCATGCTTATTGATGTAACTAGGTTGAACTTTTCTCTATTGATTGATTGATTATTTGATTGATTTGGCTTGGTCGTATCCAACTGTCAGGTTGCATATTATTTTAAGTGACCTGTGAAATGTTGTGATGTAATTTTTTAAGGATTTTGACATTGATATTCTCCAAGATATTAGATTGATGGGTGGTGGTATCAGTGTGTAGTTTGGGGATTATTGTGATGCTGGTTGAATAGAATCTGTCAGCTCAGCGCACTTTCCCTTCATGATAAACATTTGAAAAGATACTTTTACCCTCATGGAAATATTTAACATTGTATATAGGTATAAAAACGTAAAAAAACATTAGATATGTACAATGTGTTTTATAAATTAACTATAAATAATTAGACTGGTATATTTCAGCTACACATAATGGTCTCATTCATCAAATGGAATTTGTACCTATACATGATAGATCCTGATTCATTTTTTCCAATTTTCTTCTCATTCCTTTAAACCCTTTTTCCTTTCTTATTTACAAAAACTTTATTTCCATTTTGCCTGTGTTCTTTTTTCTCTCCCCTTCCTTCTTCCTCCCCTTCTCCCTTCCTAGTTCCCTTCCTCATTTGACTATTTTTGTCCTATTTTACAATATCTATCATACATTTTTTTTCCTTATTTCACTTTCAGTTTCTTACACCAGAAAAACCACGTGATATTTGAACATATGTGTCCCATTTATTTCACTCAAGAGTATCCTTATGTATCCTCTTGGGTCCATTCACCTAGAAATGTCTCAAGTTTATCCATCTTTTAGGCATAGCAGTGTTCCATTCAATGGAAAAAACCACACCTTTTTTTAATCCATTCATCAGTTGATGGGCATTTGAGGTGTTTACTAGGTTTAGCTATTACAAACTATGCTGCTATAAACATGGGTGGACATATATCACTGTGGTATATTTTTTATTCTACTCAGAAGCTACCATGTAGGAATATAGTTGTGTCAAAAGGAACCTATATCCTGCTGCTTTATTGATGCAGATCTTATGTTGTTCTTTGCAATTGTTCTTTTTTGCAGTTGTTGGCTTGACAGTTTGTGATTTCTTGCTCTTTTTAGGAAGTGTTTCTTTTAATGAATGCTAACCTCAATCCTGTCTCCTAGATCTGATATTCTTTCCCGTGGTTCATTCTGTTGCATATATAATCAACAGAATTTTAAATCTCCTGGCTATCTATTTGAATCTGGTTCATTGATGCCATTCTTTTCCTATGTTGGACATTCATGGTTTCCATCATTTTAGTAAAGTCTTGTTCATTTTTTTTAAAACTGTATCTTCTGAAAATTAACTAACCATGCCCTTTATTATGGCAATCATCTCTGAAGTCATCTGGGAAATTATTTCTGATTTGAGTACTTTCTTGAACCTCATTCATTTGCTTTTAATTTTTGCTGTTACCACCTCAGAGAGTCCAGGTAGGTGGCTTTTGAATTGATCCACCTCATTGTCCCCTGAGTTCTCCTTTGGTGAGTTAGAAGTCTGAGTTTGCATGCTGAATCCATATTTTCTCATTGTCTATATTTTTAGTTTAATTTCTGCACTGATGCTTGAAATTGTTTATGTTTAATATCATTATTAGTAGTGTCAATAACCCTTAGGCAATGACTACTGGGGAATGAAGGATGTGGACAAACCTGTCTATACAGGCAAGGGATGTAAATACATTTGCATCTCATAAAAACACTCACCAAAATGTGACATCATCAAAAGAGGATTTTAACAATCATTTGGATATGTTCATTCACTCTGTAGATAGTAGTCAAGTTCTCTCCTTACCAGTTCTTTTCATTGCCCCTTCTTTCATTGCTCATGAACATTGTGGACATGTTGGCAGGAACTGGGGTTATGCATACTCAGTGACATGCTCTCCCACTCACTGAGGATGCTCTGGCTACAGCCACTGCTGTAGGTTCAATATGCTAACAGTTTAAATCAATACTGCTTCCCCAATATGGCACCTTTCCCTAGTGTGATGTGCCTTTGACCTTGTGGCAGTTCGATTATATTAGACTGCTTCCATCATGGAAGAAGTTTTTTTTTTTGTTTTGTTTTGTTTTGTTTTTTCTGTATATGGATTTGCCTTTCTTATATTTTATGCATCCAGCAAAACTTCCATCCGTGGAGTCACATAATGCCTTATCCACCAATATAGATACACAGAAATAGGCTCTGACCCCAAGGAATATATTTGATGCCCAAAGAAGTGAGGTGATGGTCTCAGGCTCATGGAACTCAGTTGTCTTACCATGTTCATCACTATCCAGAAATCTGCTGGATTGGTAGAAATTTGGAGTGATCTTTTGAAGACTCAGTTGCAGCATCAGCTAGGTACCAATAGCTTGAGGGCTGGGCAGGGTTCTTTAATTGGCTCTGTTTATGCTTCAAGGCTCAGTCAGCATCTTCTCTATGGTTGTATCTTCCACTGCCAAGACTCCTGGGTCTAGGAATGAAGGGGTAGAAATGAGTGGTACCACTCACTGTTACCCATAACCATCTGTTAGCAAAAATTTACACCCTATTCTCATGACCTTCTCTTCTGCTGCCTTAGAAAGATGTCTTAGTTCCAGAATGGGGAAGGTTTGTATCAGGAAGAACAGTGAGTGATACATGTTCACTGGAATTGAAGACTTCTCTCTGGTCATGTTGGACTCAGGACCCTGAGGAAAGAAACTAAAAGGGGAATTACAGTGTTTAGAGAGGTGATTGACCCAGACTGTCAAGGGAAAATTAGACTATTACTCCATAGTGCAGGAATATACTTGGAGGATAGAAAGAATATACAGGAGATTCCTTACGGTGTCTTCTAGTATTGTCATGCTGTTATTAAAGTCAGTGGGAAACTGTAACAGTCCAATCCAGTCAGAATATCAAATGGTTCACAACCTTCAGAAATGAAGGTAAGGTTCTTCACATCAGTGAAAGAACGAAGACTCACTGAGGTGCTTGCTGAAATTCCTTGCCAAGGCACAGAGAATGTCAAACACGTCATTCTAAATAAAAGCTATGGGGCCAGGGATATAGCTCAGTGGCACAAGCGCCTGCCTAGCAAGCACAAGGTCCTGAGTTCAAATCCCGGTACCAAAAATAAACAAACAAAAACTATGACCCCATGATCAGCTATAAATATGCACTGTAGTTTTCTCCTAATATCCTTCCAGTCTACTATGTTGATAGACTCCATATTGGTTAAGTCTTCTCAAAACTGTTAGAGTCCCAGTTATGAAATGTTAGGAGTAAGCATCACCCAAAGAAAACTTAATTTTATTCTGGGCTTGGGAATTAGTGCATTTCCATTTGTATGCTGGACAGTTACAACATGTTAGGTGTTTTTTTTGTTTTTAGTTGTTTTTTGCCTTTTTGAGACAGGGTCTCACTATGCAGTTCAGGCTGGCCTTGAATTCACAATGATACTCCTGCCTCAGCCTGCCAAGTGCTGGGAAAGCAGGCTCGTCTTGAACTCACTTTGTATCCTAGGCTGGCCTCAAACTCGCAATGATCCTCCTGCCTCAGACTCTCAAGTGCCATGTTAGGTATACTTATGAATTTGTATCTGGAGACTACGGTTTACAGAAATGTGTGTAATTGTGAATTTGTCAAGGGTGGATGACAGTTAATGATTGTGTCAAGCTGAGTACTATGTCCCCAACTAAATCTTTCCAGTAAATTATGGATGGGGAAGACCTACCCTAGGAAGGACTGTTCCAAGAATGTTAAAAAAAAATAAACAAAAATAGAAGGCTTACTTGTGTTTCTGTGGAGGAGCTCGAGTATTCACTGTCACATTCAAGGAAACTCCTGGCTTCCAGGCCAGACTCTTCAGCCGCTAGCTCAGACCATTTAGTCTTCTGGCACAGATCCTTTGCTCTGCTGACACGGACTCATACAGGACACTACAGTGGGCTCCAGGCCTTGAACTGGATTTTTTTGTTATCCAGTGCACAGTGAGACCTTCTGCACTATTCAACATCTCAGTGTGGGCAGCCATTGTAAGCCAATCTTGTGAATTCATTTATATCTATATATTGCACATTAAAATTGTTTCTCTAGTTAGCACTGACTGATACAATATTACAATTCATGACATCCTTTATTAGACAATGCATGGTCCATCTGATGTGTCACAATCAGAAACTCACATGAGTATGGTTTTTTCTTTTGGTGTAAATTGTGGTATAATTGCCATCAAATTGAAAGTCATAACAATATAAGCATGAAAAGTAAAATGTTAACGTTAAGAAAACAATATTTTATGTAAATCACAGTACTGACTTCAACATGAAAATGAAATAGATGAAATTATGAGGGGATAAATGCAGGTATTTAGTTAGGACATGAAAAACAAAATATTTGCTCATCTATAAGGTATATATATAAACAAATTTTTAAAAATACATGTTCACATTTCTCTAAATATGCATACATATCCATATATAACATCAAGTTCAAAGTTATCTTTTTGTGTACAGAATATGAGGTGTATACAAGAAAATTACAATTAAAGCTAGTGGGAAATATAAATTTAAAACTATTAATAAAGTTTTTTAGCAGCCTCTACCCCCCCATAGTAAAAACAAAACAAAATCAAAACTACTACTTAAAAGTGATTTCTTTTGTTTGTTTTTTTGAGGGACAAAGTCTCTCTATGCAGTTTAGACTGACCTCGAACTCACTATGTAGCCTAGGCTGGCCTCAAACTCATGGCAATCCTCCTGCCTCTGCCTCCCAAGTGCTGGGATTACAGGCATGTGCCAATATGCCTGGCATCTTCAAAATGATTTATGGAAAAACAGAAAGAATACATTTTAGATTTCCATCTGGGAGTGTATTTTCTGGAAAACCCGTGAAGAAATACTGACATACATTTTTTTCCTTTCTATGGAAAGGTCTCCTCTTTGTGAATCATTTTCACAAGATTATTAAAATAAGCTTACAACATAGGCTCAATCTCCAGTGTGACTTCTTTCATGCAGCTGATAAAAAGTGTAGTCATTAAATGCTCCCCCACATTGTTTATATACAAAGGGTTCCTTCTCAATATGAGATTTATGTATATAAAATAAGGATTAATTAGCAAATCTTTTTGTGCATGGCTCACATGCACCTGGCTCTGTCTGTGTGAGTTCTTTCATGTCTTTGACAAGATTGGTGTGTAGTGAAGGGCTTTGCACATTGCTTGCACACGTAAGGTTTCTCTCCAGTGTGTGTTCTTTCATGTCCTTGACAAGATCGGTGTGAGGCAAACGCCTTCCCACATTGCTTACACACATAAGGTTTCTCCCCTGTGTGAGTTCTTTCATGTATGTTATAAGAATATTTTGCAGTGAATGCCTTCCCACATTGCTTGCACACGTAAGGTTTCTCCCCAGTGTGAGTTCTTTCATGTGTTTGACAATGATCATGTGTAGTAAATGCCTTCCCACACTGCTTGCACACATAAGGTTTCTCCCCGGTGTGAGTTCTTTCATGTATTTGACAAGATCGGAATGCAGCGAATGCCTTCCCGCAGTGCTTGCACACATAAGGTTTCTCCCCAGTGTGTGTTCTTTCATGTACTTGACAAGACTGGTGTGTCGTGAATGCCTTTCCACATTGCTTGCACACATAAGGTTTCTCCCCAGTGTGAATTCTTTCATGTATTTGACAATTATTGTGTGTAGTGAATGCCTTCCCACAGTGCTTGCACACATAATCTTTCTCTCCTGTGTGAAAGTTTTCATGTAATTTATAATAATTCTTTGTAGTGAATGCCTTTCCACATTGCTTGCACACATAAGGTTTCTCTCCAGTGTGAGTTCTTTTATGTCTTTTATAATTAGCCCCTATGGTGAATGCTTTTCCACATTGCTTGCACACATAAGGTTTCTCCCCAGTGTGAATTCTCTCATGTATTTGACAATAACTGTGTCTGGTGAAAGCTTTCCCACATTGTTTACATACATAAGGTTTCTCCCCATTGTGAGTCCTCTCATGCCTTTGACATTGAGTGTATCTGCTGAATGAATTCCCACTGTGCTTACCTACATAGAGTTTCACCCCAGTGTGACTTCTTTCATGTCTTTGGCAGGAACTGTGTGTATGGAATGCTTTTCCACATTGCTTACAGACATAAGGTTGTTCCTCTATGTGAATCCTTTCTAGAATTTTATAACTTTCAGCACTGAAGTTTTTTCCATATTGCTTACATACATATGATTTCTTCCCAGTGTGAATTCTTTTCTGGATTTGAAAACCACTGGTGGTGCTGGCCGCTTTCACATTTTTCTGGCCAACAATGATCTTCTCTCCAGGATGACTTCTTTCACTAGGTTCAGAGAAGTTTTTCTCATATTGCTCATATTGATAAGGTTTCTCTCCATTCCTTGTCTTTGTGTGCTTCTGAGAGTACTGAAAATCACTGTAAGTTTTTCCAGGTTCACTGCATTTACTTAGCTTGTCATCATACCCCAAATACTCATGTGGCTTCTCTCTAGGGTGAGATAAGGTGAGCTCATTTAATGATAAATGTCCAATCAAGGGCTCCCTACAAAGAAGACTTCCACCTGCCTTTAAAGCAGCTTGCTGCATGTCCACATTAGTATCTGAAGTCCAAAGGAATATGTTTTCATGTAGATTGTAAGTTGTATATTTGAAGCATTTTGCTACCTTTTCATTTCTGTAAAGAAACAAAGTATCAAAGATTAATGTCTCTATATCAATAATGTACCATAAGTGCAAACTTTTATTTTCACTTTTTGAGACATCTGTTCTGAATATAAAAATATTCTGTGTTCTATTCCTACAAATAATATATGAGGGTGCATTTAAAAAATTTTAAAACATGAAGGCACACAATACACTAGCATTCATGTGGATTGTGAATGTTGCTTCTCAGCAATTTTTTAGAAAATGTGTATCTCATATTCATGTATCTCTAAACACAGACAGGTAACTTGAAGATGTGTTCCTGCCAAAGTTCAAGATATATTCTTTTCATATATGCCTGTATATAATACCTGAATGCAACTTCATACATTTCACGATATTGATTATCAGAAAAAATTTTATACCAATGTATGAGATAGTGTCTCTTGTTGCATAATGTCACTACTAACTTAGTTTCCTATATTGGAATATTATTATATTCAATTGCCAGATCATATCAAATCAACCTGTATGCATATCAGCAAAATTTTTGTGAGATTAAATAAATTTGAGCATGGCCTGATTTGTAAAGATTCCTTGTAATATTTCAGTGCACACAATGATACTTGAGAAGTATTACTTTTCCTTATGAATGCAAATTACCTTAGATTTCTTGAGCAATTTTTGTGTTTTTCTTCAATCTGGTGGTTGTCCCAAGTCCTTCCTGAATTATAGCCATAGAAATAGAAAAATGTCACCATATCATTATAGTAAAAATTACTGGTTAGCAATTATATTCATGGTACAATGTAAGCAGGACTGAGATATTGTTCAAAATGTTTTCACATTCTATGAAATTTTAATGAATCCATACCTTTCACCAAGAACCAATGCTCTCTCATTGAACATATGACAAAATGATGTCATCCTTACCTATAGCATTTATATTCCTAATCGTTTCCCACATCACATCTCTGTAGAGCTTCTTTTGGGATGGATTCAGCAGAGCCCACTCCTCCTTGCTGAAGTTCACAGTTACATCCTCCAGGGTCATTGCCTCCTAAATAATCACATACATATATTTCCTGAACGAAGGCTGACATTCATACCCTGAGAACTTGAAATATTCTTGTAAAAGCTGAATTGAGGTTGTTCCTTTGAAAAGAAACTCAATACTGTCATCAAACCTATGTGTATGTACATAGTTTCACATACAATTCTGATGCTAGATTGCTTCTCTCTGCTGTACCAATGGCATAACAGTAGCACTGGTTGCCTGGTAGGGTCATTGAAATTGAATTTGTACACTGTTTCTAAAGCAGAGCTCATTGGGTCAGCCTGCAAATCACCATTTCCACAAAAAAGGAGGCAGAAAAATATCTAATGAATGGTTGTGATAGACCATAGATTATATCTCTTTTCAAATCTGATTGTTCATAGAATTAAGTCATTCTTGTATTGTATACAGGCAGCTTTTTGAAATGTGAATCTGGCTTTTTAGGAAAAAAAACAAAAACCAAAAAACAACTCAACTGAACATTAAATATTTACCCTTTTGGTTTCTGACACCAGAGAACCCATGTGATATTTATGCATGTATGTGCAATTTATTTCACCTAAGAGTGTGATCTCAAGGTCCATCAATTAGCTAGTAATGTCTCAAGCTTACACTTTTTTATGGCAGAGTAGTACTCCACTATATGGTATGATGCTTTTAATTCTTTTGGGTTGAGACCAAGAAAGGGAATAGCTGGGTCAAATGGATCCTCTAGGGTTTTGTTTGTTTGTTTGTTTGTTTTGAGGAATCAGAAAAGAAAACATTTAAGTGAGTAAGGGAACAATGGGGGGTGGCATGAAGGAAAGAAGAGACAAGAGAAAGAAAATAGAAGGACAAAAAGGAAACAGTTTCATAAATAAAGAGGGGAAGAAGGTGTGACGAGAGGGTAGAACAGTTGAAGAAAAAGAAGAATCAAGATATACCATGTACAGGTACAAATTCCCAAGATGAATATTATCATTATGTGTATCTAAAATGTAGTAATAAAAAAGAAAGTAAAGAACGTTTATGATTAATATTAAAATGCCAGTAGAAAAACAGTACTCTTGGAACAAGTCTATGCACAATGAAACAGAGATCACGTAGTCTATGATCTTACAGCTTAGTGACACCAAATGATCACTCTGCACTCAGATATAAGAATTCCTAGAATGGTCTAAGTGAGATTAATGAGGGGAAGGATATGTATACCATTAATCACATTAAAAAGAAGATATCACAAAGTATAACAGAAGACAACATTCAACACCTCATGAGCAAGGTGGTAGATTGCACACTTTACATAAAACACATTCATGCTTCACCTTACATTACAATCTGCATTTAGTAGACAGAATGACAAATGGATCTCAGGGTAGAAAGCCAGCCTTCTATGGTCTCACGTGTAAATAGAATAGTGGTTGATGATGCAGCTTGTGTTAAACATATCTGAAATTAATCACAATATGTTTTGTGTATGTTCAGGGAGAAACAGGTATGTATTTAGAAATCAGATTGTATTCTATTGTATTTTATCTACATAAATTATATATTGAAAAGAGAAAGATAAATTTGAATGTCTTAGGATTTTATAGTGAAATAACCTTTCGATACATAAAAAGGTTCTTCAGAGGAAACAATTAGCCATTAAAATTAGGAGAAATTGAAGTCTACGAAAACAATGGGAAATACATAAAAAAAGACTAAAATATTTGCTGTGTACACAATACAAAGATTTTGTATACAGAGAAAAGATCAATGAACACAAATCTTTAAATATATATAAAACATATCTGACTCGAGAGAAACACTGAATATAAAATAAGACCAAAACTGGAAGAGAAATCAAAGAACACTGAGGTGTGCAAGAACACAGTAAAATTAATACAAGGAGAGAGAATCAACTGATCACTCCACACTCATCTCCTTTGAAGTGCAATGAAATCAACAGATGAGTGATTTTTTTCAATGTCCAGGAATACACTGTGCTATTCTTGTAGATAGACGTGATTATTGATAAGTAAATGTGAAAATTCTTGAACCCCATGGCCAATAGAATTGATAACAAAGTATTCTTCCCTTGATTCAGACATCGGTATTTGTGAATAGTAAGATGAAGAAGTCCCGAAATATTTTCCTGTGCAACTTCTATAATGCTTATTGAAAATGACTTGGAAAGAAACTATAACACTATTCATGGACAATCACACATGGTAAACTGAGGAAAAGCTACCAAAGAATGAGAGTGACCAAAAATAAGGAAGAAAATTTTGAGTAAGGTAGGGAGTTTTTCACATATATACTCTCATCCACTGCACAGTGCCCAATGATGAAAAGTTCTGAACACACCAAGGATATTTATACGCTTATTATCATTAAATCTCATCCAAAATTTTTGAGAACAAATTTGCCATAAAATATTTAAATAGAAAATTACCAGTAACAATGTTCATATGCATTTGTTTGTTTGCCTTTATATATGAATGTTAGCACAAATTTTCCCAGCACCATTACTGAAACAGTCTATCATTCCTGCACTGAAAGGATGTGGCCACCTTGTCAAAGTTAAAATAAATGAGTGTGTGTGGAGAAGGTTCTGCTTTCTCTATTCCGTTTCATCAGTTCACAAGTTTTTTTTTCAGTAACATGCAGTATTTACCACACTCTATAATTTCAATTGTATAGTGTGAATGTGCCTCAGAAAGATTTAAATGTAGGGCAGTTACACATTCTGAAATGAACAGAAACTTCTAGAATGCTTTATTATGGAACTCACTATGGGCATTCCTTGAGGTATGAGTATACTGAAAATCTTTTAAAAGAATGAATACCACAAGTCAATTGCTAAATATAGAGGACCTGGGGCCTTTACTAAACTGGAATACTGGGAGAATCAAGGCAGAGGAAAAATAGACAATTTAACTCTGAGTCCAAGCCTCGGATTTACCATGCCTTGCCCTTTTCTTTTCTTTTTCTGGCTTTCCATTTTTACCATGATTGATATTGCTATTCTGGATCTCTTCTAGTTCCATATTAGATTCAGGTTTCATTTTGTCTACTTACGTGAAGTCTGTTACTGGCATTCTAATCGGGATTACGTTAAATCTGAATAACAGCTTTGGAAATATGGCCATTTTCACTATCCTGACTCTGCCTATCCAGGAACTGGGGACATCTTTTCATTTCTGATATCCTGTCAATCTCCTTTCTCAGGGAATTATGCTTTTAAATCTAGAATTTCTGCTCTGAACTTTATAATGCCCATCTTGATACTCTTGAAAGTCCAAAGGAAAGGAGGTATGAAAAAATTAAAAAGGAAGAAACAAGTAACAAAAAAAGACCATGGTGGGGACACATTATGGGCGAGTAAACAGAGAGACGTAAAGTAAGGAAAACATAAGGAGCCCAAACTGTCCCTACCAACTTCACCTCCATGCAAAAGACTAAGAGGTAGGAGTGTGGTGGGTGAGGCCTGATTCATGTTGTTCTTCTGATCCCTGTTTCTGAGGCTAAGTATTACGGTACTAAGATTAGAGTATGCAGGACTCTTCACAGCGCCTTCATTTTAAAAATTGGGGTAGAGTTAAATGATAAATGAAGCAATGTGCTCTGCAACTTCAGTGTGGTTAATTACATAGAATAAGAAGGACATCTAGCATTCCTCGGCAAAAGAAATCTTCAACACAGTTTCCAAAATGAGGACATATGAGAACACCATGAGCACTAACAGTCTATGAGATCTGATACTGTGTGTAAAATTTCTTCTCCCTACCATTCAAATTGGAAAAATATGGCAGAGAAAATCTTAGGTGATATTAGGCCACATAAGAGATGAAAACTATCACTGTGTTCAAATTGCAATACCTGAATATATACCAGGATAAAGCCACAAGATAGGTACAGTCATGAGAGATATTTTTTATCTTGTACCACAGAGGCACAGAAAAGTGTATATTGTGGGGATATTACAAAGGTATGATGAAGGGTTCAGGGTAGCAAAGTCTAAGGATGAGATTCTTAACTTATACCACCATGCGACAGAACTGTGGAACACAGAAAGTCGATTGGCTTTTTTTTTTTTTCTGCCTTTTCTTGAGACAGGGTCTCACTGTGCAGTTCAGGGTGGGCTTGAGCTCACTTTGTAGGCCAGGCTGGTCTTGAACTCAGAACAATCCTCCTGCCTCAGTCTCCCGAGTACTGTGATTACAGGAGTGCACCACCACGTCCGGCAGTTGATCGGCTTTGATGACTACACTGAACATAATTTTAGAGATGGAGAAATCAGACCAGAAGTGGTACATGGATGTGAGTACCCAGTATTCACTGCAAAACATACACTGAGAAGCAGGATCCCTACCTGTGTCAACAGGTACATCAGTAGGTAAAGGGAGAGGAATTTTGCCTGGAATTGGTATAGGAAAGCCAAGAAACTAAAGAGGGTAAACTTAAATCATGTGTGATAGTTCTGAACCAGGACAGCTCTTATACCTACTGAGATCCAAACTAGAATGAAGACACAGTGGTGAAAACTTATGCTGTGACATAGCTCAAATTACAACTTAATCATTCTATACTACTGAACAACGTCTTAGGCCTTGCAGTGTCTTTTTTTTTTTTTACCATTAATTAAAAAATAAAGGTCATATCCCTCACCATTCTATACAGTAAAATAAGATCTACATATGAAGCCTAAAACTAGAGTTTAACAACAAACTGCAAATATAGTATTCATACTTTATGAAAATATATGCAGTATGTTGCAAAATATTATACTGATTTTAATGAAGAAAAAATAAACATTACAGAGGAAGTATAATTTAAGAAATTATAAAGGAAGTTTTCCCCAGGAAACCTGCTACTTCAGAGACCCCACTCAGGCTCTATGAGCAGTAAATGATTAGACTGTGGTGCAAAAGCCCACGGGCTCTGTGAGAAATGTGAGAAATGAATGGTTAAACAAGAATAGATTAGAGAGGCATGTTTCCTGTGATCATTGTTCTCCCCTATCCCCATAAAAACTGAGTATCGTTGAGACAGCTCCTTGCCCAAACTGTTTTTCATCTGCTTTTTACACTTTCTTTTTGCTTTTTTTTGTGGTACTGCACATTGAACTCATGACGTTGCGCTTTCCAGGCAGGCGCTTATGCCACTGAGCTATTTCCCCAGCCCTGCTTTTTACACTAACACTGATTTTCTAAATAAAAGCTGGAGAGTTCTCAGCTAGAGGGATTCTCCTGGGAGCCCTCCTAATACTGGGTGTTCTTAGTTGAGATAGCTCCTCTAGACCTCCTAGTGGTTAAGCCTTTTTTTTTCTTCTTCTTTTTTGAGACAGGGTCTTGCTATGCAGTTGAGGCTGGCCTTGAGCTCACTGGGTAGCCCAGGCTAGCCTTGAACTCACAACAATCCTCCTGCCTCAGCCTCCCAAGTGTTGGCATTACAGGCGTGCACCACCAAGCCCAGCAGTGATTGAATAAATCTTGTTTCTAAATAATCATTCGATCTGTTTGCCAACATGTTATCTCACACAAGTGGGTCCCTGTTGGAGGAAAAAGCTGCTGCTGCAGATCAGCATAGAGGACTGCCCTCCTAAAGCCTGGAAAAGGTACGAGAATGTTTCTGACTCTTCTCAATAAGGGAACAAAAACAGCCATGGCTAGCCTGGCATGTTTGCTGTAAGGTTGAATACTACGATTATCAGCCCAGAGGTCTTTTAAGCGTCCAACTGCTAAGGAGGCAGGGAAAGTTTGCTTGATTTTCTTCTTGCTCTTTCACTTTTATTTCTCATGCTTTGCTTATGATATGGGTCAAACTTAAGAAGAAGAAGAAAGAATGAAAAGTTTTACAATGTCTCTTAAAAACATGAGTAGAAAAAATAGAATGGAATAAAATATAAAAAGAAGAGAAAAAAAGAAAAAGAAAAGATATGAAAGAAAGAAAGGGCTAAAGGCAACAAAAGTCAAGCCAATAAATAGAGTTTGCCAAACTAGGACAAATCTATCAGGAATACAGAAACTCTGATCAATATTGTTACAAAGGCTAAATAAAAGCCATGGCAAAAACATCTAAAAGTGTACTGATTAAAAAAATTGTTTCATTGTTTATGTTTTTTCTCTTTAAAATAAAAAAATGACAAAATTACAAAGGTAAAAAGGCCTTTTATCTTTGAGTTTCCTCAATGTTCTCACCTCAAAAGTTTTAGATATAGTTACATGAAAAAATAAAAAAATCTACTCATTCCATTCAAAGTGATCAAGCTATGAATAAGTATTTCTAAAATAATACTGCTGAACTGCTCAGATGAACACTGATTTTAAAAAGTTACAATAACTTCATGTCATTAAGATAACAGTCATCGGGGCTGGGGATTTAGCTCAGCGGTACAGCGCCTGCCTGGCAAGTGCAAGGTCGTGAGTTCGATTCCTGGTACCGGAAAAAAACCAAAACCAAAAAAAAAGATAACAGTCATCTGTCTAAACAATCACCAATAAGCTCTTTGGATAGTCAACTTGGCTGAGATGTGACTTACTGTTGTATATGCGTCACATCTATCCTATTTAACCAATCAGGCCCTAAAAGGAAGTCTAACACCTTCTCCATGGTGTCTTTTATACAAATTTGGACAGACAGAGATATTACTAATGTCTAGGGACTACTGCTACCCTTCTGATAAACTACAAATGAAAGTTCACCATATCAGTTTAAATCTCCTGAATGATATTCCATACAGTCTAATCACCAAAATTAATTCTATAGCCTCAACCTTCACAGTTGCATTGTTATTACTACTGAAATTATCTTTTTTTGTTCTTTTTTGTTACAGTCCACCATGCCCCCATAGGCTGCTCTGGTAGACGCCCCACATCCAGCCAGTGATGACCTTTATACATCAAGCTCAGCCTGGTCAACTCTGCAAAGCAAGGAAGGAGCACAGAAAAATGGGAAGAGCCACAGACAAAACACAATTTTCCAGGAAATCTCCCTAGCGAACTTCTCCCACCCAAGCCCCACTGCCTTACAGCACACCCTGCTGCTCAACTTATCAATGGGTGAATCCACCAAAAACTGTAAGTCCACAGAATCCAATCAAGTTTTAACACAAAAGATATTTGGGGGATATTTTACCCATAAGCCATAACACCAGGTCTGCTGTTGAAAGAAAAGTCAGGGGACACAAGCCAGCCCAGTGCCACTCAGACACAAACATCACACAAGAGTCAGCAGCTCCACCAAAACTATACAGCTGTCAGGGCCCAATAGGATGATAAGTGGGGGAGCACGTCCTGAGCAGCCCATGACAGTGCTTTGGACATGCTTAAGTCACCTCATTTGCACAGCACAGGATGCTGAGGGCCTGGCAGTTTCTGTGCCTTACCCTGAGAGCCAGCAAAGACCAAGGGCATAAAAGCAGCAGCTGACATACAGGAACAAGACTCCTCAGTTGATGCAGAGGTCTAGGTCCTGGAAAGGCTGCTTCTGTCAATATGTCACTGACTTTAGGCCTCCACCAGAGATTCACTCCTGTCTTGGGTCACTGGAACTGGTATATCACCATTTATAGGATTAGGGACATCTCAAGGCCCTTCCCAGTCAACCTGCCATGAGGAAATGTCTCAGAACCAGCCTGTGTGAGGCACCTACAGCGGCTTTCCGCAACACACTGGGAACTTCTCACTTGGGTTCCTGACAGAGGATTCGTCTCTCTGGACAGCGTGCCTGCTTGGACAGTTCACAGGGCGCCAACCTTGCTTCACTGCTGCACTGCCATTCCACTGTCTGCCCTCTGAGCCAAAAAAAGACAAGAGAGAATATACACTGCCTCTTTGAGAGGAACACAAGTGATAGAGGACAACAAAAATCCTTTCTAACACAGGCTTCCTCCCAGAATATTGACTTCAGCCAGCATGAGGAATCAAAGCATTTGCTCCAAGATTTCCAAGAGCTGCCACTGTCTTTCTGTACTCAAAAGGGCTCTTGCTAATTGCTGTCTTGACAATCAGGTTCAAAGTTTGGCTCTGCACTTCCAGATTCAATGTCATGTGGAAGAAACTACCAAATCAGAAGAGGTAGAGGTTCTCAGGCCAGGGCAGGACAGAATGGAATAGAAGGAAAGCTTTAAAGCCGGCAGAGAACAGAAATTCAAACGAGGCCCTTGATTTCATTGTGTAGCCTTTTATACACCTTTTCTCTTAATCTACTTATTTTCAGGAAAGAATACATGCATATACTTAAAAGAGAATATAATTAGCTAATACATGAAAAACAGGCATAATATATTAACAGTATTCTGCAAAATGAATTAAAATGAAAGAAAAGAAACATTTCAACTGCCTCAGAAAAATAAACTCCTTCATCAACATCACACACACACCAAAGCTGAATTCTGAGTACTGACCCTGTTCTCTACCACACAGACCAGAATGACTGTTGAAAAGTAGCAGCACCCTCAATCAGGTCCTAATGATGAGACATAGTCACCTAAGAATTTAACATAGTAAACTCGCTATAGTATAATTCACTCTCTTCGAAGTTTGAAAGCCTTGCCTTCTTCTACTCATTTATTTCATCAAAGTTCAGGTCTGAACCACAGTCCTGTGACAGGTCATTTTGAGAATCAGTCTGATAGGCTTGCAAAATCCCAGGGATCTTAGTAGAGCAGTTCTGGGTGGAAGCACAAACCTCCATCTGCACATGACATAGCTTTATCCCAACCTTCTGCAATTTGTCACAGTCAGCAGTCTTTCTAGAGAGCTGCAATATGTACAATAATTTTTTTTTGCATCCCAGAGTCCAAGAAGTAGGAGTACATAGCCGTTCTAGTGCTTTTCAAGAAGAGCCCCTTTTTTTTTTTTTTTTTTTTGGTACTGGGAATTGAACTTAGGACCTTGCACTTGCCAGGCAGGCACTTATGCCATTCAGCTATATCCCTGGCCCAAGAGCCCTTTTTTTCCTTGTGTGTTTACAAATAAAGTAGAGAGAAAATATTGTGAGATATTATTCCTTATTAGAAAACGGATGTGTGAATTGTAACACAGTGTTATAGATACAAATTTAAGTTAGAATTTCTGGAAAGCAAAGATGTCAGTTTATGAAATTAAAATGCAGATAGAAACTTATGAAGAGTTATGCTGATTCTTTACAAGTACAAAGAAATATCTAGAGAAAAGATTAAAAGCATACTCATCTCAAATATCAAATATGTAGGTAATTTACATAATGACTTACAGAAGAAATGAAAAATCAATGTACTGCTCAGAGACATAAAACACAAAAAATAAAAAAGCCAATAAACTGCACTATAAGACCATGCCACTCATCAAACTACAGAAAGTTGGGGCTGGGGATTTAGCTCAATGGCACAGTGCCTGCCTGGCAAGAGCGAGGTTGTGAGTTTGATTCCCGGTACCGAAAAAAAAAACAAAAAAAAACCAAAAACAAACTACAGAAAGTTGAGTGTTGACTGGATATGAGAAACAGATACTTTTGCATACTTGTAGGGAAAATGTGGATGATGTATATCAACATTTTAGAAGGATATACACTCTGTGCACCAGTAAATAGGCTCCTGAATACCCATGAAATTTTCTCACATCTGCTTCCAGGGCAGGCAGAAAGACAGTGTTCACTGTGGTATTTATACCAGTGATAGAACTAGTCCAGCCTGCTCTCCCGTAACTGTGGAAAGGCAAATAAGATGTTATGGACACAAGCACTGGAGATGTTTTGAGGAGTTAACAAGTACATACAGCAATGCAAATAAGCCTGGAAAATAAAACTGAGTGAATTAAGTAATACACAGGATAATCACTTTAATACACTCCCATATGGTCACACTAAAATATATATACCTGATGCTGAGGTATAGCTCAGTGTTAGAACACATGTAGAGTGCTTATCAATCTCTGGGCTTTATAGCCAGCATAAAAAGTATACATGACACCATGCAGCATAATTCCTTTGTAATGAGCAGGGGCACAAGAGTGGAAGGAATACAAAAGGGCATTAGGATAGTCAAGGAGATCACAGGTGATATTTGGGACAATATTTCTTTCTATTAAGGGCCATCCTGTGTGTTGTCTGATGTTGACCCACATCCCTGGCCTCAAACCATGAGCTGCTCTAAATCTTGCTCATGCCGTATGTTATGGTTTCAACAAAAATGCTGGGACACATTCACATGGCTTCTGATGTGCACCGTCACCAGTGCCTGAAAACCACTGACTTAGCAGGTGAAGTGAACAAATAAGCTGCTGAATGAAAAGGTACTCAGAATGGGGAAACAAAAGTCACAGGACACGGCTTTGCACCCCAAACCCAAGCTCAGTGGTTCTCCCTAAAGTACTTGCTCTCTGAACTTGCACACGCCCTCCTTGTCCTCAGTGCCTGCACTAAATTTCAAATTCTCATGGGTGTGAAAAGAGAATTGGATTCCAGATGACACTATATGATGACATCCACAGGGACATGTACCTGCCAGGATAAAAGGTGCCTTGAAGTGAGTTTCTGTGCAGGTTCTCTACTATGCCCTCAACAACAGGTCATTCCCTTGGGCTTTCCTACAATATCAACAAGGAAGGTCTGTCATCACAGTGTGGAGAACCCAAACATACTTAATGGGATTTCAGCAACTGCAGTTTCGTGCCATTTATGGAACACAGAATAAAACTTCAAGGTCATCCCTTTCCCCAGAGACAGCAATCATTGAAAAAGAGAGAGTATTGGAAGTGATGGTGCTAGACATGCCTGCCTGTAGGCCATTGGGATCATGAAAGAGGACATAAATTTATAGTCATGAGTACCCAGTGTAGAAAGGTGGACAATGATTCAATTTTAAAACAGTAAGAGAGTTTCCCACAATCAGTACAAATTAAAACAAGGAATGGAAATGTTTTCTATTAAACCTTCCACATGCTTGGTGTCATCTGTTTAAATTATTCAGTCCTTTGTCTGTCCACTGAAAATTTCCATCCTATCTTCCTTATATTGGTGATGTTATCCAAACAGTATGGCCAGAGTAGGGCACCTCTGCATAGAACTCACACATACAGACTCCCCCAAAAATTCCAAAACAAAGAAAAATTCCCAGGCAGTGTTCCTCTTTCCAAACAGTATTATACTGCTCTCTTGATTAGGTTGCTCTAAAACATCTGGTTAGTATAGTTCTCAACACAAAAAATGCTTGGCATGGTGGCACATACCTATAATGCCTGCACATGGGAGGCAGAGGCAGGAGCATCTTTTGAATTTGTACCCAGCCTGGGCTATGCAGTGAGTTCAAGCCTAGCCAGAACTGCATAATGAGAAGCCATCTCAAAATAAATAAAAAACAAAAACAACAAAACAGGAAACAATCTGGTTAGTGTCATGCTCTATATGGGACCATATGAAGAGTTGAAAGAATGAGTCTACAGATGCTACCTGAGTTTGAAAGGGAAAATATCTTGATCAACCCAAAGGAAACTGAAAATAAAATTTATTGAAAATCCACCAAAAATACCTGATCAAACATCATTGGTGAGACTTGGATCTTTTAAACTTGCTCACCACACCAATCCCTATTTGCATTTGGGGGAATTTATGTAATACAAACCAAATTCAAAACAAAATGCTAAATATCTCATGTAGTTTATAGAAAATAATATACTTTAAAATCACGAGCTGTCCATCTGTAGTGTCCTGATTCTGACAGCAGTGCCTCATCACTGTTATCCCCAGATAGTGTAGCATGAATCCCAAGTGTAAAAAACAAGTAAAATTAAAAATTAAAAATAAGATTTGCAGTAACTCTTTTCTTTTCAATGTTATTGCCTTAACTCAGGGCCTCATAAATATTTCAAGTTAGTTTAAAGTGAGGGTACACACCAAAATATTTATTTCATGACACAGGAAGGTCTTTCCCACCTATCCGGGCTGTGCTTGGTGATTTAATGCTCCCGTCTCGGTCTCTCAGGTGGATGTCATGAGGTGTGCACCACAATAGCTCAGTGATATTTACTTTACCCAAAGCACTGAAACAATCGTAAATTATGGTGATTTAAACCTCAAATTTAAACTAGCAAAGTGACACAGATCTGTCATCCCAACAAGCAAGAAGGTGGAAAAATTATCAAAAGTTTTCCATGGCTTGAGCAACTTAGCAAGACTTGGTCCCAAAAATTAAAATAAATAAATAAATAAATAAATAAAGTGAAGTAAAAATTTGAGCGCATGTATATTAGGGCAAATTTCCTGAGTTGAGTCTCTGTACAATAACAAGCATCAACAACAACAGAAACACCTGGAAATCTTTTGTATCCAGCAGAAACCTCTTTCCATTCTACTTCAATGATGATGCCTACCCTTTCAAACCTACAATACTAGTTTCACAATTTGCAATTTTGCTTCAAAAATGATTTGATGATATGAGATGACTATAATGATAAGTAGTCAGTCAAAGAATGTTTATCCATTCCTAAATTCCACTCCATTCTTTAAGCCTGTGACCTATGGCCCAATCTCAGACCAAGCCAGCAGACAATCCTTCGCTGATTACGACACTATGAAAAATCTGAAGTCAGGAGGAGTTTACTGCTGACTTATGCCCCTCTCCACAGTCCCGCCCCTCTCCACAGTCCCCTGCAGTCCCATTTCCTTTTTACCCATCTTTCCTCTTGCCTATTCAAAATACCCTTTTATTCTATTCATTCATATGCTGCAGACCGTAACTATGGGAATTTAGACCTACTTCAAACTTGTTTTGCTCTTTTTGTTTTTGTTTTTTTTTTTTTTTTGAGACAGTCTCACTCTGTAGTTCAGGCTTGAACTTAGTATGTAGCACAGACTGTCCTTGAACTCGTGGATCCTCCTGCCTCAGCTTCCTGAGTTCAAGGATTACAGGTCTGCTCCACCATACCAAGCTCCACACTTGTTTTCACAATGTCCATCAATGTCTATTGCTTCAGTTTTAAAAACAATGTCTAGAAACAGTACACAGAGCACTTTATTACAGAGATAAAATTCCTTTCCCTTTCCAATCATACCAATATTACACATGTATTTCCCTGTAGATGCCACAGTTCAATGCATTTCTACATGTGGGTTTAACAGGCAGGTCTTTCAGGAAGTTGTCTTAGCAGAAATATTTTCCCCTCTCTTGATAATGCATTAACATCCCCTCTATATTTCTCAGCATTCTAAACTGTATAGAGCGCCTCATTTAAGTAGTGTGAAAGTAAAGAATAATTTCTTTTATTAGCATATAAATAGGACACCTAGCTAAGGAAGGGACTGAGATAACAGCTGGGTAATGAGACATTTTCAGAAGAATTGAAATAATTACCTAGAAGGTTCACCCAAGTGTAGATTTTCTGCCCGACAAATAATGCAGCTACTCCCTATTAAAAGGAGCTGCAGCCATTGTCTACTAAGCTGCTGAGTTTTCAGGAACTTAAAATACAAAATAACCAGTTTATTCTTTAAAAGTTCAGTCTCCTTTAAACGGTGCATGCTGAGGAAATTGATTAGAGATCCTGAGTTCAAAGTGGTTGTTTTAAGTACAGCGGCATCATCGCTTCTCGGCCTTTTGGCTAAGATCAAGTGTAGTAAGTACAGCGGCATCTTTGATAGGTGCTAAGCAAGTGAGCAATTACTGTGCTCTGAGCATCTATAATTACCTCTGGTTTGACTGGGGAGCCACATGGCTGCTCCATCGGGATGCTCCGGTGGAGCATCAGGGAATTTTTAGTATTATCTCCAGACATATCTCTCCTGACAGCCTCCGTTTGTTTCACAAACCTATTTCTCAATGTTGTGAGACTATAACGACTGCTCACGCAGCAGCACCATTGTGAGTAGAAGGTCTCATGTAAATAACTCAAGTGACTATTGTTTTTCATTGCTGAGTATGGAAACCAGGGTTTCCCTAATGCCCCAGCTCTCCTCAAACTGGTGGAGACATAGCTGTGCCTGGGGCTTTCTCGTTTGGCAATGTCACAGTGCGGACAGGATGATGAGGACCCGGAACTGCCCCTGCCTGAGCAAAGCGGAAAAGGGACAGATGATGATGCAGAACCAAAGAGTAGGAAGACCACGCATTCTGGACTGAAGCAGAAACTATTCATTGCTGTAATTTGTTTTGGCCCCTTTCTTCCCTAACTTACCCGATTCCATTCCATTCCTGCACCCATTCCAAAACGTCACCATTTGTGGCATAAGAGTCTCCCACAACCTTTTGAATGCAGGTTGCTGCCGTTTGAAGTTACAAAAAATGACGGTCTAGTCAGATAGAGGTTCTCAGTAATGAATATAGTCTACGTCTTATGGCGCCATGACACCGGAAGAGCCCTCCTCCCTCTACTTTCTGATTGGGTAATACAGACAGCCACGCCTTCGTCTCTGATTGGCTCCTGCTCTATTGTGGGCCCAGGTTGAGCCTGACAGGAGCAGCAAACTTCTTTCAGCGAGGGTGAAGCTCAAATGATAAATTCTAATGCAGGAAATTCTGGTTCAGTCTCTCTCCTATGATGCCAGTCTTACCTCGCATCAAGAATGCTTGCACTTGGGCTGGGGATTTAGCTCAGCGGCAAAGCGCCTGCCTGGCAAGTACAAGGTCGTGAGTTCGGTTCCCGATACCGGAGAAAAACCAAAAAAATAAAAAAACAAAGAATGCTTGCACTTAAAGTCCTTAATCCTGGCTTTTAAAAACATACATAGTTTTTAATGTACTGAGTGCATTCCTCTTGAATGTGCTCAGAAAGTTCCAGAGTTGGGCCTGTGATTTACCTCAGCGGGACAGCACCTGCCTGGCAAGTGCGAGGTCCTGAGTTTGATATCTTGCACCAAAAGACAAAGAAAGTTCTAGTGTCAGTATCCTATCGATCAGCCAGTGCCTTGATGGGAGAAAACATCATGAGTCTAGGTAACCCTAATATAAAATGGAATAGTGGCAACACCTGTTGTTGGAAAATAGGCAGTTGTTTTCATTGCCAAGATTTTCACACTGTCTCTCAATCTACTCATTTTCATTTATGAAAATGAATATATGCCCCATAAAAGGAATACAATATTTGCAAGTAAAGAAATAGGAGTCTCATGAGAGGAATATTTTGCAAAAGAGTAAAGATAAAAGAAAAGCAAGCATTCAAACTCCTTCAGACCAACTTCAACCTTTTTCCAGAAAATACCTGAATTTTGAAAATAACCATATTTCCAAGTATAAAAGCTTTAAGTCTCCAACTTGGCCTGACTCTCAGCCTCCTGCCTGCTTGCCAGCAGAAGCACTACTCTATGCAGGGAACTAAGCTCAACACTCAGGCATAGGCAAATATAGTAAAGGAGATAAGAGAAGAGAAGCAATTTTGCAGGTCCTGGAGTCATCTGGAGACACCCAAAATTTACAGCAGACACTTCAATGGACTCAGCTCACTGGAATGTAAGATTGCCAGAAAACTTCAACCACAGATGTTCACTGGGATCTTCCTGCCTAAGGCCCCCTGCCTTCTCTCCATCCCTGTAAAAGGGACACACTTCTCATTGGGACAGAAGGCTATAGCATTCTATGCCTGAACCAGGCACATGTTGTGTTATGCAAGCCTGGTGGTCTCTGCTGGTCACTTATGTCACATATTGATGCCAATATCTAGGAAGTGAGACAAGCTCTCTCTGGAAGGGTTTAAGCTCTCTTGAATCTCTACCCCAGCTAAAGCCACCTGGCAACATTCTCAGACCATGGTCCCTATACCTCCTGGCACTTCTGGCAAGCCAGATCTCATTCAGCATTTCCGATCGGGTATGCTCCCCAATCTCCCTCTCCCTCTTTGTTTCTCTTCCTAACCCTGCCTCCAAGATGATCTATATCAGGAAGCTCCCCAGCTCCCACCAAGCTGAGTGCTTTAGATCAGGAAAGCTTGCTCTTTTTCCTGGCTTCTACACTCTCTGCGCCATTAAGGCCCCCACCCCACGCCTTTGTGCAGGCAGCAACTTTCAAGTTTCCAAAGCCGCTGCTTTTGGCTCTGTGGGTTTTTCTCTGTGAAACTTAACCCCTCGCCACTAAACCTCCTACCTCTCTGCAGTCCACTGCTTCTCCATTCCGCTGTCTTCTCTCATCCCTCTGGACAGAAAAAGGCTCGCTTCTCCCTCTGTGACTTAAATCTAGTGCTTGTCATGGTTGGACACACTTCGGAGAGACTGGCTCTGATGTTTCTTTTAGCCTGACTTGTGCAGAATCTCAAACTTCACCTCGTTCCCAATCTGAAGCCCAAATGCCTCTCAATGACAAGCACACAATGCTTTTGATTTTTTCCCTAACACAGAATTAAAAGGAGCCTGCACAACACACCCCTTCCCTGTCCTACAACAGGACCCAAACACAAGCCATGCCGCTAGCAGTGCTTGCCACAGCATCCCAGCCTATGATAACCACCAGCCAGCCTGGACCAAGCTCCCGCTCCAGCTGCCACCACCTTGGCTACCTGCCTCCACTAGCTAACTGATCCATGCCCAGCCTTTCCAACCTGCCTGCCCAGAGCCACCTTCCCAGCTGCCCCTTCACAAAGCTCAAGCTATCTGCTGTGCCTCTAACTCCTTTCACTCTTGAAACTCCCACTGACTACTCTGCCACACCCAGTCCAGACTGCTTCTCACTTGTTCGGCTGTTCCTCCCTCCCTGCCAGCCCTCTCCCAGGTGAGTCAGCATCGGAGCTCTTTCTCTTCAGCCTCTTTAACCTGCCCATTTTTCTCCCACTGGCCAAAAGTTACCTTTAAACTCATTAATTAAAAAAAGAAAAACAGGTATTCAAACTAGGCACAGCCCAGGACCCAAAGGACTGCCTCTCATCATGATTTCTCTTAGAACATCCTGCAGGCTGGCCACTATTCTCAGAGATGACCTCTTTGTACACCCAAACCTGGCCCGCTCACCCCCGGGAAACAGTGACAATTACCTTGCCATCAGCTGTGACTATCCTACACCTCTGGCTTTGAAAGCAACAGTGAATAGCCTGTATACCTGGATATCCCAATCAGATAAACCGTCAGCCTAGCGGCCATTTAAATAACTGTCCTTGCTTTCATGGGGTAAAAAGGTTTATTCCTTCTGATTCTTATTACAAGAGATCTCTATTACTTAACCAACAAAAGTTTTCACTAGCCTATTTATAGTAACAGGTTTAAAAAGTATAAAATTTTATCTTATGTTCCTCATTTTGGTGATGTTAGCCAAATACTATCGTTAGAGTAGGGCACCTCTGTATAAAACTCACACATGCACACACCCCCAAAATCCCAAAACAAAGAAAAATCACCAAAGTAGTATTTCCCTTTGCAAACAGTTTTATATTATTTTCCTGATTTAGTTGCTGTGAAGAATCTGGTTAGTATAGCACACAAAAGAGGAAATATGCTGGGCATGGTGGCAAGCACCTATAATCCCCGCACATGAGAGGCAGAGGCAGGAGCATCCCTTGAATATGTGGCTAGCATGGGCTACACAGTGAGTTCAAGGCCATCCAGAACTACATCCTGACACCTTATCTTAAAATATAGATGAAAACAAAGTACAAAATCAAAAAACAATCTGGTAAATATCATGTGCTACATAGGATCATATGAAGAGTTGAAAGAATGAGTCTACAGATGTTACTTGAGTTTGAAAGGGAAAATATCTTCATTACCCCAAAGGAAGGGTGTTCTTCTTAGTGTTATTTCCAATAAAATTTCTCCTGTCTCCTTTTGGTTCACAACCTCACTTCTCAATATTGTAAGACCATGAGAACTATTAATGCAGTAATGCCATTGTGAGTAGAAGTCTCCCATAAATAAAGTGATAATTACTTTTCATTGCTGGGTATGGAACTCAGGGTCTCCACAAAGCCCCAGCTCTTCTCAGACTGGTGGAGATACAGCTGTGCCTAGACTGTCCAAGAAGGCATTCTGAGTTGGGAGTGTCACACACATTTGGAGTAAGATGTTGGGGACCCAGAACTGCCACTGCCTGAGCAAAGCAGAAAAAGAACATGTGATGATGCAGAACCAAACACTAGGAAGACCTCAGATTGTGCAGCGAAGTGGAGACTATTCATTGCCGTAGCTCATTCTGGCACCTTCTTTCCAGAACTCATTTGATTTCATTTCAACCTGTACCCATGCCCCATCACTGTTGTGTAACATCAGAGTCCCCAAAATCCTTCAAATCGGATTGCAGCCAATAGAAGTTACAGAAAATGGTATCTCGTCAGGTGGAGGCTTTCAGCATTGAATTCAGGCTGTGAGCTTGGCACCATGATACAGGAAGTGCCCTCCTCCCTCAGGACCACCTGACTGGGGAGTTGAGACACACAGTGCCTTCATGGCTGACTGGCTCCTGTCCACTGCGGGCCTGAGGAGCTGAGGATGACAAGAAAAACAAACTTCTTTCAGCCTGAGTGGAGCACAAATGATAAATCTGATAAATGATAAACCCAAGAAACTATGGATCAGTCTCTCTTTCATGATGACAATCTCACTTCACATGAAGAATGCTTGCCTTTAAAAGCTTTAATCCTGGCTTTTCAAAGCTTACATGGTTTTCTTCATGTAGTCAGTTTAGTCTTCTTGAAAGTGCATTGCAAGTATGCACAGAATGTTCCAGCATCAGTGTCCTAAGGAAAAATCTATTCCTTGATGGCAGAAAACATCATGATTCTAGGTAATCCCAGGACAAAATGGAATAGAGGCAAGCCCTGCTGTTGAAAATGAGGCATTGTCTTCATTGCCAAGATTTTCATATTCTACTCATTTTCTTCCATGAAAATGAATTCAAGGCCCCAAAGAAGAATATAATTTTCATGTAAATAAAGAAGATGGAGTCACATGATAGTGATAGACAATCTTCATACTTTTTCCAGAAAATATCTGCATTTTGAACATGAACATACTTCCATATATGAAAGCCTGTTTACTTGCTTAAATTTAGCCCAACATTTGATTTACCTGATCGGTTCCTGGTGATGAGACCAGGTTACAAAAGGCCTTTGGGCTGTAAGGTCTCCTTGCCCTGTCAAAGCTCATTACATGTTGAAATTATGCGCCTTTCAACATTATTCCTAGAAAAAAATTACCTAGCGTCAGATGATACAGGAGTGCTTATAAGTTGTTTGACTTGAGAGATGTACAGAACGTTAGGAAAGCACAAATCTTGGTGTGTCTGATTAAGACATAATATTGTGACTTAGGGACTGATTGTGAACCCCGGACCACTCCCCTCATCCTCTTTCCCTTCTAGATTTGACTTTTATAAAGTAGGTATCTCTGTCCTTTATTTCTATTTACAGTGGACCCTTCATTATAAACTCAATTCAGGACTGGTTATGCTCCAGTTGGTTGTATGTCAAG